TCGTCAATCCTTACCATGTCCTTTTTTGTCGTTAGACACTGATGAATGTTATCCAAACCGGTGTCTAAACAACGGAACATGTACAGACGGAGTGAATGACTACAACTGCACTTGCGTGCCTGGCTTTGTAGGAAAGAGTTGCTCAAATAGTAAGTCTTTAATAATCAAGTCTTTAAATAGATTGAGATTTTCGGATTAACACTGGACAGTGACTGGTAATCGTATTCCAAGTACATCGGCGCACGACTTCGCTCGCTCTTTTTAAAAAAGTCATTTTGCATAACTTACAGATCCAAGTTTCCTTACCTCTTTTAAATTTTAATAGGGAAATTCTTGTATACAAGGAAAAAGGCAACTTAATTTATATTTATGTCATGGCCATTTTTAATTTGGGCAAGATTAGTCTCTAAAGAATTTCCCGTGTGGAGTGCGTTTGTGGAATAAAACTGAATGCCTTCAATTGATGCGAACAAGGGAATCTTGTATAATTATGTGCTCCTTGTAGATATGGATATTTTATTGTCGTCAATCCTTACCCAACCCTCAAAGTTAAAAATTTTGTTCAGTGGCCATTAGGCGCCAAATTATATTAAAAAATTAATATATCAAAATTGTCCTTAACAAAAGCAGTTAGCAAGTTTAACTTAAAATGCGGGACTGTCTATAAATTACTCGCTTATTGTGCAAGGCATTAGTTACTAATAGTCTGAGAATAAGGTTTGCAGATTCATCTCCTTGAATCAATACTGAAACGGAATTGTAAAGACAATTACCATTTCCAGTTGTCTTTAGGGCCTTCAGTCCTTCTGTATAATCCCCAGTTGGTATATGAGAGCAGAACTTAACTCATCCTCTGTTAATGTGTTCAAAATTTCCCAGTCGCAACTTGATAGGCGACCTATTTTTTTTTCTGATATTTGTTTCGCATATGTTTTGCGACTTTTGTTGATGATGAACTTGTTTCCCCAACTAACAAATATTTTTGGAGATTTAAAAGGGCGTTTTTAATATCGCTAGACATTGCGAAAGCCTGACAAAGGCAGGAGAGTATAGGAAGATCGACAAGTTTTCTAAATCAAATCATTGCTTTATAGAGATAACGTCGCGCACGTGAAAATTTTTCGCAACGAGTTGTACTGGGAAAAAATGTTTTTCCCAATCAATTGAGAGGAACCCAAACAAAAATGCCGCTTACGAAATAATAAATTTTCTTTTTCCTTTATCATCGCTACAGGTGTTTAAAAAAAAAACATTTTTTGCAACAACCATAAGCTGTCAGTTTTGCGATGTTTAGTTTCGCTTACAATTATCGCTTTTGTTTACAAAACCGCGATTCAACTCGCAGCACGGTTCACATGTTACGGTTATCACATAATTTTCTGCGTTGAATTTGCACCAATTTAGCTCTCCCTCTTCATGTTATTAGACTGTTTCAGTATTGATTCAAAAATATTTGTAATATGTAGTCCAGTTAAAAAACCACCGAGCTTGGCTAGACAAGCATTCCTAAGATATCGAAGAAATAGTCACTGTCGACAAGCAAAGCGCTTCGATTGCGTTGCATTTGTCACGTGTCGAAAGTTAAAATTTCACGTGCAAGGCAACAGACTGAAGGCGATTAGGCGAACGAATGCAAGTCAAGTTTCATTGATGTTCCTTTTCAAAACGCTTAGCTCTGGGACTTTTTTAAGTTTTCAATTTATTATATAGAATGTTTTTCAACGGAAAAGTAAAAAAGTAATGTAATTCAAATCAGCTAGAATAAATGTTCTTCATATTTCAGTAGAAGTGATTACCATTTCTGTTTCTATACTCACGCCACAACACGAACCTATTCTTCACGGTCGCTAGCTTGGCAACTATTCTCCAAATCAAGTCGCCAGTTCCAAAATTTTAGGCCCCATGACGACTAAAATGGTCGCAACTTGGAGGGTTGTTACCATAACCTTTTTTTTTCTTCAGACACTGATGATTGTTATCCAAACCCGTGTCTAAACAACGGAACATGTACAGACGGAGTGAATGACTACAACTGCACTTGCGTGCCTGGCTTTGTAGGAAAGAATTGCTCAAATAGTAAGTCTTTAAAAATCAAGTCTTTACCAGGATTGAGATTTTCGCATTAACATGGAACAGTGAATGGTAATCTTATTCCAAGTACATCGGCGCACGACTTCGCTCGCTCTTTTTGAAAACGGAGTTTTGCATAAGTTTCAGATCCAAGTTTCCTTACCTGTTTTAAAACTTGATAGGGAAATTCCTCTATACAAGGAAAAACGCAACTTAATTCATATTTATGCCAAGGGCATTTTTAATTTGAGCAAGATTAGTTTCTAGAGAATTTCCCGTGTGGAGTGCCTCTGTAGAATAAGATTGAGTGGTTTCAATTGATGGGAGAAGTGAATCTTGTATAATTATGTGTTCCTTGTAGATATGGATATTTTATTGTCGTCAATCCTTACCATGTTTTTTTTTTCTTCAGACACTGATGACTGTTATCCAAACCCGTGTCTAAACAATGGATCATGTACAGACGGAGTGAATAATTACAACTGCACTTGCGTGCCTGGCTTTGTAGGAAAGAATTGCTCAAATAGTAAGTCTTTTAAAATCAAGTCTTTACCAGGATTGAGATTTTCAGATTAATACTGAACAGTGAATGGTAATGGTATTACAAGTACATCGGCGCACGACCTGGCTAGTTCCTTTTGAAAAAGTCGTTTTACTTAAGATACAGATCCAAGTTTCCTTACCCTTTTTAAAACTTATAAAAAGAGCATCCCTCTATACAAGGAAAAAGGCAAAATAATTCATGATATGCCATGGCCATTCTTAATGTGGGCAAGATTAGTCTCTTAAGAATTTCCCGTGTGGAGTGCTTTGTGGAATAAAACTGAATGCCTTTAATTGATGCGAACTAATGAATTTTGTATAATTATGTGTTCCTTGTAGATATGGATATTTTATTGCCGTCAGTCCTTACCATGTTCTTTTTTTTTTTTCAGACACTGATGACTGTTATCCAAACCCGTGTCTAAACAATGGAACATGTACAGACGGAGTGAATGACTACAACTGCACTTGCGTGCCTGGCTTTGTAGGAAAGAATTGCTCAAATAGTAAGTGTTTAAAAATCAAGTCTTTACCAGGATTGAGATTTTCGGATTAACACTGCACAGTGACTGGTAATCGTATTCCAAGTACATCGGCGCACGACTTCGGTCGCTCTTTTTAAAAAAGTCATTTTGAATAAGTTACAACTCCAAGTTTCCTTACCTCTTTTAAATTTTAATAGGGAAATTTCGTATACAAGGAAAAAGGCAAGTTAATTTATATTGATGCCATGGCCATTTTAAATTTGGGCAAGATTAGTTTCTAAAGAATTTCCCGTGTGGAGTTGCCCATGTGGAATAAAACAGAGTGCTTTCAATTGATGAGAGAAGTGAATCTTGTATAATTATGTGTTCCTTGTAGATATGGATATTTTATTGTCGTCAATCCTTACCATGTTGTTTTTTTTTTTCAGACACTGATGACTGTTATCCAAACCCGTGTCTAAACAATGGAACATGTACAGACGGAGTGAATGACTACAACTGCACTTGCGTGCCTGGCTTTGTAGGAAAGAATTGCTCAAATAGTAAGTCTTTAATAATCAAGTCTTTAAATAGATTGAGATTTTCGGATTTGCACTGGACAGTGAATGGTAATCGTATTCCAAGCACATCGGCGGACGACCTCGCTTGCTCCTTTAGAAAAAGTTGTTTTGGATAAGTTACAGATCCAAGTTTCCTTACCTCTTTTAAAACTTATTAAGAGCATCCCTCTGTTAAACGAAAAATTCAAACTTGTTCATATTTATGCTATGGCCATTTTAAATTTGACCAAGACCAGTTTTAAAAGAATTTAATAATAATAATAATAATAATAATAATAATAACGGTTAAAAAATTAGTACATCGATGGTATGGCTGTTCGCCTGATATAAGAATAAAATAAGGAAATTAAAAAAAAATACTTAAATCTGAATTGTGAACTTTTAAAAAGCTAGGTAATAAACAGTAAAATGTAATTATACAACACTCAGTTGTGGAGTAGGCATGTGGAATAAAACTGAATGCCTTCAATTGATTCGACAAGTGAATCTTGTATAATTACGAAGATATTAGGTTGTTAGCTACTCTAAAATTCGAATATAAATAAAGTTTTATGTTATGTTATGTTACGTTACGTGTTCCTTGTAGATATGGTTATTTTATTGTCGTCAATCCGTACCATGTCCTTTTTTTTCGTTAGACACTGATGACTGTTATCCAAACCCGTGTCTAAACAACGGAACATGTACAGACGGAGTGAATGACTTCAACTGCACTTGCGTGCCTGGCTTTGTAGGAAAGAATTGCTCAAATAGTAAGTCTTTAGATATTACATTAAGTCTTTAAAAGGATTGAGAGTTTCAGATTAATACTGAACAGTGAATGTTAATGGTATTACAAGTACATCGGCGCACGACCTCGCTAGTTCCTTTTGAAAAAGTCGTTTTACTTAAGATACAGATCCAAGTTTCCTTACCCTTTTTAAAACTTATAAAAAGAGCATCCCTCTATACAAGGAAAAAGGCAAAATAATTCATGATATGCCATGGCCATTCTTAATTTGGGCAAGATTAGTCTCTAAAGAATTTCCCGTGTGGAGTGCTTTTGTGGAATAAAACTGAATGCCTTTAATTGATGCGAACTAGTGAATTTTGTATAATTATGTGTTCCTTGTAGATATGGATATTTTATAGTCGTCAATCCTTACCATGTTTTTTTCTTTCTTCAGACACTGATGACTGTTATCCAAACCCGTGTCTAAACAATGGAACATGTACAGACGGAGTGAATGACTACAACTGCACTTGCGTGCCTGGCTATGTAGGAAAGAATTGCTCAAATAGTAAGTCTTTAAAAATCAAGTCTTTACCAGGATTGAGATTTTCGGATTAACACTGCACAGTGACTGGTAATCGTATTCCAAGTACATCGGCGCACGACTTCGCTCGCTCTTTTTAAAAAAGTCATTTTGCATAACTTACAGATCCAAGTTTCCTTATCTCTTTTAAATTTTAATAGGGAAATTCCTGTATACAAGGAAAAAGGCAACTTCATTTATATTTATGCCATGGCCATTTTTAATTTGGGCAAGATTAGTTTCTAAAGAATTTGCCGTGTGGAGTTGCCCAAGCGGAATAAAACTGAGTGCTTTCCATTGATGGGAGAAGTGAATCTTCTATAATTATGTGTTCCTTGTAGATATGGATATTTTATTGTCGTCAATCCTTACCATGTTCTTTTTTTTCAGACACTGATGACTGTTATCGAAACCCGTGTCTAAACAATGGAACATGTACAGACGGAGTGAATGACTACAACTGCACTTGCGTGCCTGGCTTTGTAGGAAAGAATTGCTCAAATAGTAAGTCTTTAATAATCAAGTCTTTAAATAGATTGAGATTTTCGGATTAACACTGGACAGTGACTGGTAATCGTATTCCAAGTACATCGGCGCACGACTTCGCTCGCTCTTTTTAAAAAAGTCATTTTGCATAACTTACAGATCCAAGTTTCCTTACCTCTTTTAAATTTTAATAGGGAAATTCTTGTATACATGACCTTTTCTCTGAGCTTCCTCTTATACTTTAGGCATAGTGCGACAGCTACCTTCGCTTTGTGCCAGCTTGAGAACCTGAGAAGTCTCTCAACTATGACGTCACTCTCTTTCACTACACATGTGTTAACCTTAGTGCTCTTCACTTCGGGGGAATCTGGGTCCACAGTGTCTTTGTATGACTTTTCGTTCAGCCAACTGCTTGTAGGTTTTCTAAGGAAGTCAGGGCCTTGAATCCATTGTGATTTCTCAACAAAGTCTTTAGGTGACATACCCCTTGAATCTTCGTCTGCAGTATTTGAAGTGGTTTGGACGTAATGCCACTGTGAGGGGGTGGTGTGATCATGAATGAGTTGAACCCGGTTGGCAACATAGACATGAAACCGACTGGATTCGTTACTTATAAAGCCTAGGACGACTTTACTGTCCGTCCAATAGTGATCCTCAATGTTCTAATACTCTAGCTCATCCTTTAGAACATCACCAATCTTGACAGAGACTGAGGCTGCAGCTAACTCTAACCTTGGAATGCTGACGGTCTTTTTTGGCGTCACTCGCGCCTTTCCCATAACAAAAGAGACATGTACTTTGCCGTGTTCGTCTTCGAGCCTTAAATACGAGCATTGACCGTAACCACACGTCGAAGCGTCAGACATACAGTGGAGTTGCGTGGACACAATCTTTCCAAACTCCGAGGGTTTAAAGCTTCTTGGTACTTTCAAACTTTCAGGTAGGTACAGCTCATTTCGCCATCTTTCCCATCTGCTGCGGGTGGCATCGTCGACTGGCTCATCCCAGCTATTAGTGTGACAGATGTCCTGCAAAATCTTCTTTCCGACCAGTACTACAGGAGCGATGAAACCCAAGGGATCATAAATCGAGCTGATGGCCGATAGGATGCCTCTTCGCGTGCAAGGTTTATCCTTAAGTTCAATCCTAAAGTTGAACGTGTCTGACTCAATACACCAAATAACTCCTAACGCTCTTTCTATGGGTAACTTGTCTTGGCCAAGTGTGGGGTTCTTCACCTGTTCTGCTCTGTGTTCTTGAGGGATTGAGCTGATGATACGCTCTGTGTTTCCCACAAACTTGGTTAAGTTAAATCCACCATTTTGGCAAACTGCTTTGGTGTCCTTTGCTAGCTTAATAGTCTCATCTTCTGTGCTTGCCGATTTGAGAACGTCGTCCACATAAAAGTTCCTTCTAAGGGTGTTGGCTGCTTCTGACCCGTATTCACCTTCGTTGTCGTCAGCAGTGCGTTTAAGTGCGTAATTAGCGCATGCAGGGGATGATACTGCACCGAACAAATGCACTGTCATGCAATACTCTTCGGCCTCCTTCTGTAAATCGCCGTCTGGCCACCATAGGAACCTGAGAAAACTTTGATCTTCCTTCCTTACTCTTACTTGAAAGAACATTTTTTCAATGTCTGCCATAAAAGCATACTTTTCTTGCCGGAACCTGGTAAGAACACCGACTAGGTTACTGCTGAGATCCGGTCCCTGGAGCAATTTGTCATTCAAGGAGTGTCCTTCGAATGAGGCCGAGCAATCAAACACCACGCGTATTTTCGTTGGCTTTTGCGGGTGATAAATTCCGTGATGCGGCAGGTACCAGGTTCTGCCCAACTGATCTTTAAGAAAATCATCCACCTTCCGAGCGTACCCTTTCGAAATGATATCAGACATAAAGCTGCAGTAATCCGTGTAATACTTGTCATCAGACATTAGACGTTTCTTGAGGCTGTTCAGGCGCTTCTCAACTTGAGCATAGTTGTTTGGGAGCTGAGTGTTCTTATGTTTGAAAGGGAGGGGCATTTCATAGTGCATGTCCTCGAGATGAACGATACCAGTTTCCACGGTCTCGTAGAACTTGATGTCTTCGCGCGACATTGATATTCCCTTTTCCTTTTCGGAGAAGTCAAGTTCAAACATTCGTTCAACTGCCTGCGGTGTTATCTGTTCCTTAACCGTCCTTTGAGAGACTACATATCCTCGCGGGGATGAGGTGTCTTGCTGATTAAGATGAATTCTGTTGCACGTTAAGATGCTACTCTGACAGGGAGTATAGAGAGGACCGTTTATGTACCATCCGAGCAGCGACCGTACAGAATATGGATCTGATTCTCTACCGTAAACAATTTCTCTTGGTCGTAAGGCACTTGGACAGTTCAATCCGATAAGAAGACCCACTTCAACATCTTCCATGTAGGGGGAAAGTTCGGCACTAACATCCTTCAAATGAGACATCCTACTGATTACATCAGGTCGTGGTATTTCACTGCGGTCCGCTGGAATGACGTTTCGCGTGAAAGTTCTGGGCAACTCTAACCTTGCACTCTCGTCCTTGACATTAGCTACGACTAATCCTTCAATGGCCTTCGACGTGACGCTGTGTGTTCCATGGATTGTAGTAAGAGTGAGGTCAGTGCTACTTCCTTCAACGCCAAGAGCCTTAGCTGCGCTCTCATTCACAAACGTTCCACCGCTGGCATTGTCCAGTAAAGCATAAACTCGTACTTTCTTCGCTGGATTACTCTTATGAAACAACCAGACTGGCAATATACCCATGTTAATCGGCACATCTCCAGCTTCAGTTATGTTGCAGATGGCAGTGTGATTGCTACTAACTCGAGGTCTATCTTGAGTTTGGTTCTTGTCACCTTTGTCGTTCGATTTCTTAATTCCATCAGGGTTGTGTAGTGACGTTGGATGCTGCTTGTTGCACGTCTTGCACGTTTGCCTTTCCTTGCAATGCTTTGCAATGTGCTGGCCGCTAAAGCAGCCGAAGCACAGTTTCTTCTCTACTACAAAGTCTCGACGGTCACTCAGAGATTTCTTCAAAAACTGTTCACACTCGTTTAAGTTATGAGGCTTCTTGCATAAAGAGCATACAACAGTCTGTTGATTGCTATCTTCCTGATTTACACCAGTAGCGAGGTTTGTCCCTTTTCCTCTTTTTAGCGGCTTTCTTGTAAACTTAAGACGAGTGCCTCTATCCTTTTCATCATAATTTGGCTTGCTAACATATTGCTCTGAAAACACAGGATCTGTGGCAAGATCAGCTTGTTCACGCACGAATTGAGAGAATTCTTCGAAGTCAGCTATTCTTCCCTTTGCACTTTTTGTCCTATTGTTCCTTTCAGTCCATTTGGTTCGCAGGTACTTGGGTAACTTTTCCCACATTTGACGCAGTACATGAGCAGAGTTTAAATCATCCATATGAGACATTCCTTTCATAGCAGACTTAGCTTGATCCAGGGCAATAGAGAAATCTTGGAGGGCTAAACCATCGTTTGGTCTGATTGGTGGCCAAGAAGACAATTTCGTGATATGGGCAGTAGCTATCTTGAATGGATCACCGAATTGTCTCTTTAAAAGTCTCTTAGCTTCTTCATAGGATCCTTCCATTTTCCTTTGTAGACAACCGTTTATAATTTCCTTTGCTTTACCTGACGTGTATTGACCCAGAAAATATAATCTCTCATTGGAATCTTCAACCTTTGATTCGATTAATGACTCAAAGGCAGTCATGAATAATGGATACTCCATAGCATCACCATAAAACATAGGAGGCTCGTTCGATGGCAAAATACTCCTTGCTTGCTGGTTAACAATAGTCTGAGACAACTCAGTTTGTTTTCGTTGAATTTCCACAATGTCTTGGAAAGTATTGTCTTTGACTGACAAACTTGTTGAACAACCTTGTGGTGGTAATGGTGGCAGACACCATACCTGATCAGGAGCAGTATATGTAACAGCAGGAGTCGCTGCTAAAGATGGGTATGATGAAGAATGTACACTCGAGGGGTGTTCATGGGGTTTTGCTGCATAGGCGGTAGTCTCTTCCTTACTCCGTGATGCACCAGTATTTAACGGTGTTGTGTAAATGGGTCCCTTCTGAGGTACCGTAAATGCACTAAGAGGACTAGCTTGTAAAGGCTGTTGATAATCTGTAACGCCTGAAGAACTTACAAGTTGTTGCTGCGAAGTTGGTTCCAAACCAGCAGAGTTACCTGATTGTATTGTACAAATTGGAGGACTTTGTGTATGAACAGGTGCCAAGGTTGACTCTTCATTCTTCATTTCTTCATAAATCCTTTCTTCTTCCCTTGCTTGAGCTAAACTCTGTTTTAGCTCTAAATGTTCAGCTGCCATTTTAAGCGCTTGCTTTTCCTTCAGAAATGATGCTTCAATTTCCAATGCTGCAACCTTAGTTTTTGCTTCTATCAACTTAGCTTTAGATGAAATTGAAGATGAGATGGACCGTTTAGAGTGATTTGACTTTCTTGTGCGATGAGACCCACTAGAGATAACAGAGTTTACTTCATTTGACTGATGCCTTTTCGCCTTGGACAAATATTCAATGACAGACTGTTTAAATTTAAAGACATCTTCATCGTGAGCATCGTACCATGAATTGGCATTAACAATAACAGTTTCATCTTCTAACGCGTCAACATAATTATCCTGAGCATCTTGCAGTTTAACAAGCAAATTGTTAAGACCTTCCATTTCAACTGACACAAATTCATAATTCTTAAGATCAGCAAGTAGCGGTTTCATTTTGTTTATCTGTCTAGTTACGTGACGTAACGCCACAGTTCTATGATCCTTTAACCTTTGTAATTCGTGTTGTTTACCTTTATCCGTTGGAATTTTTCTCCTTTCGCCCACTCCTAGCGCTTCAGCATCACTGACCGTAGATTTTACTCCCATATTCGGCGAACCTTTAACCTTTACTGAATTAGGAAGTTCCGTTTCTGATGCTGCATCCGTTGGCTGAGTGTGAAGCGGCGATATAACACGAAACAGTTCCGTCTCCAATGTTGGGGAGTGCGAACGCGAAACTTGCAAGCTCAGCAAATTGTCATCCTCAAAATAAGCCGCAAATTCCTTGCCTTCACCTTCCATGACCGTAAATATCCCCAGAACCGTAAAACCAGATCAAAACTATAGATGAATAGAAGCACCACCGTAACTATCCTTGTAAATCCATAAAGTCCATGAGGTCGTGAAATAACTGTGGCTGTGAATGGCGGCACATGATAGCCGTGGCGATGAACATAACAACAAAACGTTTAATCATACACGAGGCTGAATCAACTCACAAGTATCATCACAAACATCCGTTAGAAAGCTTTAGAAAACCGTAGCACGACAAAGAAAAACTGAAACAAACGACTTACAAAACACTTTGGAAACTTGAAGAAAACCTTAGTGAAACTTCAGGTTATTTCACGGTGGCCTCGTGCCCGCCAATGCCGAGGCCCCGTGCGCATGCTCCTAATAAACAAGGGGGTAAGCCCGCTGGTCAGGATACCAGCGGTTACAATTAGCTTGTTAGCTACTCTACAATTCGACTATAAATAAAGTTTTATTTTATGTTATGTTACGTGTTCCTTGTAGTTATGGTTATTTTATTGTCGTGAATTCATACCATGTCCTTTTTTTCTTTAGACACTGATGACTGTTATCCAAACCCATGTCTAAACAATGGAACATGTACAGACGGAGTGAATGACTACAACTGCACTTGCGTGCCTGGCTTTGTAGGAAAGAATTGCTCAAATAGTAGGTCTTTAAAAATTAGGTCTTTAACAGGACTGATATTTTCAGATTAATACTGAACAGTGAATGTTAATGGTATTACAAGTACATCGGCGCACGACTTCGCTCGCTCTTTTTAAAAAGGTCGTTTTGCATAAGTTACAGATCCAAGTTTCCTTACCTCTTTTAAAACTTAATAGAGAAATTCCTCTATACAGGGAAAAAGGCAACTTGATTCATATTTATGCCATGGTAATTTTTAATTTCGGCAAGATAAGTTTCTAAAGAATTTCCCGTGTGGAGTGCCCATGGGAGAAGTGAATCTTGTATAATTATGTGTTCCTTGTAGATATTGTTGGGGTGAGTTCGAGCAACTCGCTCGCTACACGACGAGGTACCAGGAATCTGATTTACATCGTGGCCTTTATTCTTCTTAATGTTCTTACAGCTTCTACTTACTCTACTACTCCTCTACTTCTACTCTTCTCTACTAACTTCTCTTAGTTCAAGTATAGTAGCGGTTTTAATAGCCAAAGCTGGATATGTTTGGGTTAGCTGACCGGAAGAGTTTCCATTGTATACCTTATCGCTAACATTGCAACAGGTTTGCTATTGTTAGGGAATAGACTAGCCTACGCACAGCCGCAGCTGATAAGTACCAAAGAACGAAGGTCAGCTCTAACACCACAAACACGACCACCTGTAACATTCCTAATATGGCAATAAGTAAATTCGCGAGCTAAGCATAACTTCAAGTACAAGAAAAAACAAAAGATCAAAACAGGAAAACAGTACGTGGACAAAAACAATACTTAATGAAACAAAAACTAAACTCAAAAGATAAGATAGATCTGTCTTAAAAATAATTTTCAAAATACTTCACAACATTCCTCTCCCCTTAGAAAAAGCATCGTCCTCGATGCAAAAGGACGTAATACATATAAATGGGTAATAACTGCGCTAAATATCAAAACAAAACTACCACACTGCACAATGTTAATTAAAACAAGATCAACAGTTCAATGTCAATAGTTCAGTGTTCAATATGCGTTGTCCTTGAATCTTGAGACTTGAAAACTTGAGCTAAATAAATTGATAACAGTGTTCTTGTGAAGGACTTGAGTAGAGAACCACTTGAAAACCTTGAGAATTAACAGCATAAATCATCCTGTAGTAGCATACAGGACGGTTGCTAGAAATGCCATTTCAACTTGAATGTAGCGGAGAACGCATGCTTGGAAGACAAGGCTATCTTGTTTGTAAATATTATGAAACAGAGCTCCAAATAGAGCGAACTCGTCTGATGAAGACACAAAGTACTGACCAGTGATAAGTATCAACAAGCACAGTTCTGCTTAACCGTAACAAAGAAGGGGTCAAACTCGACCAAACAGAGTCGCCAATGCCATGCGGAGTGATCAAAGTGTGTTTAGACTTCTTGGAGACAAACAATCGAGTAATGCTCTAATCCATTTCAGTAGTGCAAAATGACGAAAAATCACCGACAAGCCATCGAAGAACAATAGAATAATCGGTGATTGTATACATGAGGAAATACCAATGCAAGCAACTTTACAAAATAACTATTACAAAGCACGTAATATATCTAATTATCTAATTTCCGACGTCTTAAGGTTATGATAACTATTTTACACAAAGGCCTTAAACAAAATAGCCACAGAAACAGAACATAAATATGGAAGCTAATAGATCAAAAGATTTTTAAAAAGACATTAAATGCAATAATTTCACGAGCGCATAACTTGATACTGACTATTGAACAACTACTCAACTTGATTAATGAAGAACTTAATAACTGTGTTTATACTAACACTTCAGACACTAATGGAAAACTGACTAATAACAGATGGTGAACTTCTGACTTCAAAAACTTATCAAATTCATGATATTGTAAACAACTAACAAAAAGATTATAGACAGACTAGAAAAACGAAGAGAAGGCGTTCATAAATTCATGGACAAAAATATTTTGGATATTACCGAACTCAATTCACGGGTAAGAGAAAGTCAAAGAAATATAAGCCAAGCAGCAAGGTAGAGTACAAGAACTAAAATTATTTTTGTGATTGAAGATAATTATCAATGAGACGTCTATCCAAAATATGGTGTTCTGGTTCCCACGTTGATTGGCTCTTAGGAAAGGAAAGCCACTTGACCAAGTACTCGACCTTTCCATTTCTCTTTCGGTGTTTTAGAATTTTTTCTGCACTAAACACAGTTTCATTGTCGATAACAATTGCTTCCAGAGTTTATTCTTATGGATTTTGAAGTTGATTCTTTGTCTTTTCTTGGTATGATTCTTTGTTTGACTCTTTCTCTTTTTGAGGCTGTGGGGACAATTGCGTCTCAATACTAACTGTGTCTTCAGGATTCGCTTCAGCAGAAATTGGTTCAAAACAATCTTTTGAAATATCAGATTCAATAATGTACGGCTCGGCAGGGTCATCAAAAGGCGGAGGGTCAATTGGTCTCAAACTAGGATCAACAAATGGCTTCATACGATTTGCGTGACACGAAAAAGCAACTTTTTTATTGGTGATCGTGCGCAACTTAAAATGAACCGGTGACAATTTCTCAACAATTCTGTATGGACCCAACCAATCATGCATTAACTTTTTGGATAACCCTTTTCTAGTTCTCGGTGTATAAACCCAAACACGTTGTCCAACTTCAAAAACAGGTTCTTTTGTCTTTTGATCATAATAATCCTTCATTTTTTGTTGTACACGTTGTCAATTTTCTCTCGCTAAATTTTGAGCCAATTCGACTTTTTCGACAACACGTTTTCGATAGTCAAGGACCGAAGTACTCAAATCATCAGCCACAGGAGGCAAATACTTAACGTCAATTGGCAAGCGTGGCTCTCGCCCATAAAGAACGTAAAAAGGAGAATCCCCAATTGCATCTAAAACAGAAGTCCTATGCGCAAACAAAGCAAGCGGTATAAACTCGTCCCAATCTTTCTGGTTTTTGGAAACGTACATTGACAAAGACTGACACAAGGTAGAATTAAACCCTTCTATAAGACCATCGGTCTGTGGGTGATAACTAGAAGTATTGACCTTTTGAATTTGAAATATCTTACAAACCTCTGCAGCGACCTTAGATAAAAAGTTAGTTCCCCTGTCAGAGAGCAACACACGTGGTGCCCCATGTCTAGAAATAATTTCATCGATCAAAAGAAGTGCAATAACAGTTGCTTCGACACTTGGTACTGGGAAAGCTTCGACCCAACGAGTTAAATAATCACCAAAAACTACAATATACCTACTGCCTTTACTAGAAGGTGGAAAAGGACCTAAAACATCAACAGCCACTCTGTCAAATGCACCCTCGACTGGAATCGGAAGTAAAGGTGCCTTTTTCGAATTTCGTGGAGACTTTCTCATTGAACACTCAACGCAAGACTTGACCCAATGTTCTACATCTTTAAACATACCTTTCCACCAGTATCTTTGCTTAAGTTTACTAAAAGTTTTGTTTAAGCCAAAATGAGCACCGGCAATATGATCATGTACATTAGAGGGAATTTCAAAACGTAATGCAGCTGGGACAACAAGCTGAGAAAAAGATTCACGACCGTTACGCCTTCGATTAAAATCAGTGTGGTAAAACAAACCATCTTGACCAATATAAAAATTATCGCTTGTGAGTAAAATCTTTCGTGCATCTTTATCGTTAGTAGGTAGGATATCATTCTCTAGAAAATCAATCATTACAGCTAATTCAGGATCTCTTCTTTGCATTTCTTGAGTGTGAGGCGTTTGAGGTTCTTCTTTCTTGAGCGAACTCATTTCACAAGAATCATAAGGACGTCTAGACAAACAATCAGCATTACCATGGTTTCTACCAGGGCGATGAACAATATTAAAGTCATATTGTTGCAAAAGTAAGACCCATCTAGCAAGACGACCAAAAGTATCTTTAACATTCATCAACCAACGAAGAGAACTATGATCAGTAACAACAGTAAACTTATGATTGTGTAAATAAGGCTGAAATTTCTTAATACCCTCAACTAATGCGAGAGCTTCTCTTTCTGTGGTACTATAATTTTGCTCTGCCTGATTCAAACCACGACCATTGTAAGCAATGACTACTTCTTTTCCATTTTGAATTTGTGCCAAGGTAAAACCAATACCAGTGGAGCTAGCATCAACAAATAGCAAAAATGGTTCCCGAAAATTAATTAGGATACGCCAAAATGGGTGCAGAAACCAAGGCACGCTTAAGCTTGTCAAAAGTGTCGGCACAAGCTACAGTCCAAGCAAAAGGAACGTTCTTCTTTGTCAAAGCATTCAAAGGGTTGGCGGTATTTGAAAAACGTCTGTAATAATTAGCAAGACCTTAGAAACTCCTCAATTCCTTCAGATTTGTGGGGGTGGGGTATTCCTGAACCACCCTTACTTTGTCTGGGTTGGGACTAATGCCTTCTGGCGTAACTACGTGACCAAGATACTTTACTCTTTGCTTAACGAAACTGCATTTCTTTGGATTCAACTTAACATTGGCGTCACGCAACCTTCTAAAAACGTCCTCCAAATGGTCTAAATGCTCATCTACAGACTTATCATCTACAGATTTTTCTAATCACACCCGTGTGCAATATTGAACGGTTTTTCAATCGAAATCATAAATACCTTTCTAAATCAAATGCTTTATGGTTGCTTTCTTTAGTTTTCAGCCTTTAGAAAATAACTTGCCGCTGTTTTCTTCTACTAGGAAAGAAACTCCAAGTATCGTCAGAAATTATACCTGCCCTAAATTAGCTATATGGGTAGGGTTAATATTTGGATTATTTAAGAAAAAAGAAAGAAAGAAATTCCGCTTCGTGAGCGTTATTATTTGAATTTACAAACAATTAGCCAACAATTATGGCTAAATAGAATTTAAAACACCCCAATTGTAATCCGTTCTTAAATCTTCTATCTAGTCTGTGTATCTGTTATCCAATTTATATTACTATCGGGATACAGCTTCATCTCAAGTTAACAAAATTTTCGCTTGGTGAACT